TTTAACTTTATGCTAAAAATTTTCATTATTTCTCTCTAAGAATTTTGCTGAATTGAAGGTGGGAAATAGAATTACAGAAGCTTTTTTTTTTTGTTTTTTTCTTTTCTCTAATTTGACGAAATGACCATCGCTTTCTGTTTCCAATTGAAGAGAATGGGAAAAAAGTGGAAGGAATGAAAACATTGAAACATACGCAGTCCTTAACTGGTTAGTATGGAAGATTTATGAAGAAAGCAAGAAAAGCGAAAGGGATAAGCAAAAAAGAAAGAAGAATTAAGGTAAATATATGAAGTTATTCAGAGATGATGACAAAATAGGTCGAGAAGGTCATGGTGGGTGAGTATCATCATTACTGCAGCACACTACCACCCTTGGCAACACATCATCGTCTCCACTACCACTATCATCGTCACCGTCATCGTCATCGACTTCATCACTAAATCACACAGTTTACACACACAGACACCAACATGCACACTCATACATAGACACTTAAACGACAAAAAATTTAGAAAAATGGAGTTCTGTGTGCACAAAAGTGATTTACAAAGGTTGATACGGGAAATTGAGGTGAAAGTTTTGCAGTTTATTGTTGTAAACTGTGTCTGTTTAGGTTTGTTTTCTACCCCGAGCGATATATGTGTTCAAACAGCGGATATATTTTGAGCAACACCGTATAAATTATATATCTGAGGCCGGATGTACATATATTGTTCATACCAAAGAGTTTAGATATTGTCCGCGCATCAACATACTAATAACACTTTTATTATTCTAGATGTATAAACAATTAAAAAAAAAGCATATATATGGAAATAATAGGCAAAAAAAAAAAGGGGAATTTTTTTTTTGCAAAAATGAAAATACTAAAAACAGCAACTGTACGTATGTTTTCAGTTGTGGTGTGTAATGCAATTTTTCAATTTTTTCTCTTTTTTTCTGTTACTGATGATTTACGATTGTTGTTTGGATGAGGAGACAAATTTGAAGAAGAAGAAGAGACTGAGGATGATGACAGTGATGACGATAATAATAATGATGATGATGATGATGATGTTGATTTTAAAAGGGCAAATTATTGATGAAGAAGAAAAAAACACTATAGACCTTTCAGAGTATTTTACTTAATAAAACATACAATTTTCTGTATTTGTAGGTATGCATTTTTTTTCCCCCTTCTTTGAATGAAAGCCCTTGATGGCATATAGTTTTTTGTTGTTGCTGTTGACGATGGTGATGCTGATGATGATGGTACTGTTTTTATTGTTAACGAAGGAAAAGAAAGCAAAAAAAAAAAAAAAAAAAAATTTAAAAGGAAAGAGAGAAACCATGTAATTAGCAAAAGTTTTTTTTACCATTTTTTCATCTCATTCGAAGAAGTTAAAAAAACTTACATAAATAGGGGGGAAAAAAAATTAAAAAAAATCTTTTCGGTTTTTGCAGCTATTATTGTTGAATTCATACAGGAGGAACTGAGAGTGAGAAAGAAGGAAGGAACGGGAGGAAATAAGGATGGAAGAAATGAGAGAAAGGAGAAATGAGTACAGGTGAAAGTTATCATCAATTTGGTGATTATTTCGTTGAAATAGGATAGCAAAATATTTGTGATTCATTCACAGATTTTCTTCTTCTTCGTTTTCAGTTTCGTCTTTCGTCATCTTCTTCAGTTGCCTCTTGTTTTCGTTCATCTTCTTATTTTTTTTTGTTGCCACCTACTTTACAGGAAAAACTAAGTATAAGTGGTCATCTGTTTCATGGTACACCGGTAAATGTTATTTAACGGTTTTTAAAATTATCGTTCAACTGAAAAACAAGAAAAAAAAAAGGACAATTGAGCAACTGAAAAACATCATCGTTAACAACAACAGATTTTTACATTTGAAGCTAAAAAAATTTTGTAAAGCTTTAAGGATGTTGTTAGTTGAGTCTGTTTCTTCTTCTTCTTCTTCTTCTTCATCAAATAATAGCATATTGTTTAGGTTTTTTAACGATTGTTGGGAAATAGAGTGGGAAAAGAATTTTAGAAAAAAACTGATCGGATACTACAGAACAAATAGGAAATTTGATGCGACAAAACGCTTTTTTGTTTACAGTTTATTTATTTACTTTATTATAATTTATTTAATTTTTACTTTCTTTTTCTTTTTTCTTCTTTTTTTTTTTTTTTTTTTTTTTT